TATTCATTATTAAACATGAAATTAACACAGCAGGAGAGGATTAAAAATGACAAATATTTTAAAAGTTAAATTTATTAGTCTACTCATGTTTTTAAAGAAAAGTAACATAAGTTTCATACAAAGGGTACTGTTCATGTGAATAAAACAAATCCATCTACTATTATCTTTAAAATGGCATGACTATTAAATAGTTTTTTAAATAAAATAAACATGAAATGCATGTTTTGTCTGCTTGATTACCAATTTCATTAAGGTCGGGAGTATAATGTTGATAAGATCGCACTCCTTTCTTTAATTGAGTGTCCACTATCAATGCCCATGTTATGATGAGAGTGTCAAGTTTTGTAAGGTTACATCATGTAGGAAGTAATGCAGGAAATTGTCCCAGTATGTGTCACCTCTGTGCTGAATATAACTTAAGTGGGTCTTTATTTGTGGATTATTTGGTTTCTTTTGTTTTCTCCCCTTCATAGATCTTACTCTTATTTGACAAAATTATTGTTTAGGGAAACTCACTCAAAGTACTTCAGTGATCCTTCTGTCCTTGTTTTAATTTCACAAACTTTTAAACCCTCACATAAAGCCGTAAATTTTCGGCAGGGGTGAAGGCTCAGTTGGATAAAGCTCGAAGACCTAGTATGATCTGTGGAATGCACATAGTGGGAGAAGAGAACTGACTCCCTCAAGTTCTCTTCCAGCCTACACATGTGTATTTTGATATGTGCAATGCCCCAACCATGTGCCCATAATGGAAAATATAAACACAAAGAGGACAGTATAAGTATTTGCTCTGTGTATGGTGTATAATAGGTCTCACACTTTTAAAACCTCAATCATTTACTAACCCAGTATGATGAAAAGGTTCACAATCTAATCTTGCAATCACATACCATGTGACAAAATAAGTCTTCTTGCTCCTGTCTACCTGTAGTTAAGTTCAGTCCTCATTGAGCAATCTCTCCCTGTCCTTCACTATCCCTCTTTCTCCATTGTTAAGTGGACTCTCTCCTAATCTCAACTTCTATGGGAGCCACATTTTCTCCACATATTAATGACAATTCTATTTTTAACATCATAAACTAATACAGCACACATAAGCCTGTGCCTATGTAATTGCTAAAAGTGAAGCTCTGTGATTGAATGGTTTATTGTTGTTGTTTAATTATCTTAAGTTTTTAAAATTCTATGGGAAAAGCAAAAGATAAATTTCTAATGTAGAAAGTTTAGTACTCCTGAAGATGAGCCCATTGAATCTTAAACTATGGGAGGGTGTTATCACCTGGGGCTTTGTTAAGATATTTTGGAAACATGAAAATATAACATACTTTACATATGTATCAAAGACATATGGTCAGTGTGGAGAAATATTATACATTTCAGGCCACCAGACTGGATATAAGGCTGGGGCACTGTCCCCAGTGCCAGCGGTAGTTCCTACTGTGTCTTTGTGCTTCAGGAAACTGCAGAGTTCCTGTGCTGTGAGTGAGCTCTTGCCAGAACATGGTTCACAGCTCCTCTGCCACTTTGAAAAGTGGTCATCTAAGTCCATATCTAGAAAATAGTTTGCTCATGTAAAAATTTAAATTTGAATATAAATATAGTATCATTTAGAACGCTTTTCTTGTGCTGTTTTATTTAACTGAGATATACAAAGTTTGTTTCACAAAAACATAATATTCAAGAGTATTACATTTGGGATTGCTTACCACTCAAATCCTGTTTCCTTTTTTTTTTTTTTTTTTTTGAATGTTGAGTTTTGGTTTTAAATAGTGAGACAGTTTATAAAGACATTCCATCATAGTATCCTGGAGTTGGAACTGCATTCATCTTCCTATCTTCTTCTTTCCCACTAATCCCACTCATTTTCCAAGGCAAGATTCTATATCTACTCTTATGCCCTAAATATGTCTAGAATGAACACCAGGAAATCAAAAAATCTGGTTAATGAATCAGCTAATAACAAAGAAACATGTCTCAAAGGATGAAGTACAAATAAAAAATATACAAAATACTTCGCTGGAAGGGAAATACTGGAAGTCTAGCTCACCAAGGAAGAATGTCAGATTTGGGAAATGCTTTGGTTTGTGTTACAGCGGCAACACATTACTGAATAGAACTACAATGGCAAGGAAACAGCCCCAAGAATTGTATAATAGGATTACATTGAAGTCAAAGGCTCTGAATGGAAAAATAAACTGTGAACTGCCTATAGAATAGAATGAAATTTTAATTATATTTCAGTTAAGGTGTTAATATCTACAATACATTAAAAATTGTAAAAGTTATAGACACACTGTCAACAAATGAGTCAATGATCTGCACAGAGAACTCTTTTTCATCATATAAATCTTCTTCAAAAACAAATAAAACTAAAATTAAACAACACCCCCCCATAAAAACCAAAAACTGAGAACAAAGCTGTCATATAATTTGTCTAAAAGCTAAAAACATTGAAATAATATATTAGTTCAAGGTTCTTGTGTACGCACAATCAACTAACTTGTTTCTATAAGAGTTTAGAGCTAGTCTCCTTACAGTTTAAAATAAAAATGACTTAAGTCACAGTAGGAAAAGTGTGGTCACCAGCTTCCTACTTTGAACTATGAGTGATAAGCATTTAGGTAACTCAAGCCAAGATTAAAAAAAAAAAAAAACAAAACAAAAAACCCTCCAGTACTGGATAGTTTCCATTCCAACTTGACTCAAGCTAGGGTCATCTGGGACAGGGCCTTCTTAATCAAGAAAAATGCTTCTAAAAATCCTGTATATGTAAAGGCCCATCCCGCTGTGGGTGGTACCACCCTTGTGCTGGTGGTCTAGAATGCAGGCTGAACAAGCCATGGCCATCAAGCCATAAGGCAACATTCTTTCATGGCCTCTGCTCTGCTTTATCACAGCAATGGGAACCCTAACTAAGACACTTTCCTAGTCTTCTGTGATGAGTCAGGTTTAACAGAGCAGCAAAATTCTTCCACATGAAACGTAAGGCCAGCATCATCACCATAGATCCTTGGAGAAGATAGCTCAAGTTATAGGACAGAAATAAGGTGCCACCGGTATCCAAGAACAGCTGGCAATGCCAAGGAAAAAAGATGTTTTTTCAGGGTTTTTTTAGCTAGCTTTCTGTGCCTGGAGATCACCATGAATACACAGTTGGCAATTCCAAAGCTGAGACAGGAAGCCATGGGAAAATCAGGAAGTAACAATCTAGAACATTATCACTGCAGACTTTGCCACTATTCTGGTTAAGTGGTCTTTTGTTCTCCATGTTGGTTTAAAAGTAAAATCTATCTCCCTTTCTCTTATGTTTAGAATCTTGAATTAGATTACTTTTGCAAGCATAATGAGTTCATTCTCTTTTTCTAGGCCTATGGTGATGCTCACTCTAGTCTCACAATCTGTCATGTGAAATTATGATTTCAATACTACCAAGAATATCTTTTAGTTTCATGGTTCCATGTCTTCGCACATGTGATTTTTGCCTGCACAGAATGCCAACTAGTTACTTGCAGCATCTCTCATTACACCACCATTGAGGCTGGTAACCATACTCATCCTTAAACATAACTGCCAAACATTCTCCCTCAGGATCCTTTATATGAGTATTCCCTGTAGCAAGCCTTCACATGTTGTGGCCAGACCTTATGTCTCTCCAATGAAAATTAGAGGGGTATATTTCAACTATTTATATGTGTACCTCTCTGATGAGGACAGGAACATTCAGCTAGCTCAACTGCTTTAGGATTGGGAACACGCTATGTAAAATTGTAACTTTCTGCCCAACTACCTCAGTCTTTCTCTCCATGAGTAAAGGATTGTTAGGCTTTACCATACTCAATTCATTCTTTTTTTTTTTTCTCAGACATCTGGCTAAGTTATAAGACACTGTCTAATTACACACTTCAAAATTGGGAAGATATGTTTACAGTTCAAATGCATGTGAAAGAAAAGGGAATAGTATAATTCCATTGTTCAGGTTCAACAGTTATTCACAGTCACACTGAATCTTTTTATACTTCTTATAACTCCCTTGTCCTCTCTGCATTCAAATTATTTTAAAGCAAAATTCTACAAATAACATTTTATTTGCAGTTAGAGTCACCTGTTTAATGTTAAGAATATTATGAGAAAGTCTTGAAATATTTCTGTTTCTTAAAAATAAAATGATCGTCATTCCAGTTCTGTTGCTACAATAAAATGTAATGACAAAAAGCAATACTGGAAAGAAAGGGGTGCATGTCACAATTCGGGATTAAAAATCCATCACTGATTCATCAAGGTCACAGGAACTTGCACTTAAATCCAGGAAATGGTGACTGCTATGGAGGGCTGGGCTTTCCCACACCAGAACACACAATTGAAACACCTGTCCCATAGACCAGTCTGAATTAGATATTCCCTGCTATCACTCTCTTTCCAGATGATTCTACATAGTAGGAAGCTAACTGGAAGAACTAAGCATTAGCAGATGGATGCCACTGGTATCTCGTCTTGAAAGCCAGGGATGCATAGAGCATCCACCATACCAAAGGATTGTCCGGCCCAGTGTGTTGATAGGAAAAGGCCAGGAAAATCTCTGCTATAGGTTCTGGCTTTATGAATTCTCCCTTTAATTCAAGTAATACATGGACTTGTTTTCTATAGTTAATCATTTTCTAGGACACACTACAGTATCATTTAACAACTCTGTTTCTTGTATTTTCTGGTTATTAGATCTTGAAGCTTTGCAAGTATCTCACTCAATTTTTTTTGAAACACCTTTATGTTATGCCATAGCATTGTGTCCTTCAGTCAGGAAGCATTTAATGCCTGATGACTTCTGATCCTACCAATGAACTGCATCTTATGCATTCATTCATTATGGGCTGAAAAATAGTAATCCTGTATGTTTTTCCTTTTGTGCTGACATTATTGCTTTGTAGCACTATTCCTTATAAGGCTTTGATATTTAAATGTATAGCTATGCATAAAACATTTACATATTCCATGTTTCTTTTTAGAAACATCCTGTACCATCTTGACGAGAAGACGAGCCAGTTTTCCATCCTCAAGGAGGCTTGGGCACGCCGCAATCCACTGGCATCAAATGAGACCTTGCAAGAGGCCCTCTCCAGTGTGCAGAACAGCATTAATTCAGCTCAGGTTTTCTTCAAAGCAGGACTGGACGTGTTTGAGAGTGTCTTAACTGGAAAGAACTGAAAAAAAAATGCTCAACATTTTTAAAAGTTTGTTTACAACTGTACAAAAAAATGTTCTAATTTGACCAGGTGTCTTGTTTGTTTGTTTTTTTGTTGTATCTTTGTCATTGAAGTCTTCCCCCAAGTTTAAAGCTTTTTACAGAATAGTTTTAAGTGTACATAAGAAAGAACATTTTGCACATTTTAAGTATTTTCTTATATCTCCATTTGAATATGTAACAGCAATTACTGAAATAATACTTAAGATTTATATATTGCAAAGAAATATGCCATATTTTTACATCTAAAATGCTTTGGGGTGAGGTTCAAGTGTTTTTGATACCATCACTATTGCAGACAGAACTTGGAGGAATTCCAGTATTCTCTCCGATAAAACCTCCAGTGACTGGGTTCCTGTGTTAGACATGGAGACCTGATAAGGTTTCATATAATTTTTCCATATGAACACATAATGCATTCTGAATGAGTGATTGATACCCCAAAACACTTTGAATGTTTCTATTTTATGAAATGAAGTTCCTCCTCTTAACACAACTAGATGTAGTAAAGCACTGGCTACGAAATTGTATTTTGTAAGTAATAAGGAAAAAAAGAGCCATAAACATTCCAAGGGGAAAACTCCAAAGAAACTGGATAGAGCAATTTAAATGCAAATTTCTCCTACAGTGACAAGTTTTGAAGCCCTTAAATTGCCTCAGTTGATGCTACATGAACTTCAGCAGTGATGTGCATCTGACAAGGAAGAGAACATTCCTTACTTCGCTTTCTGTGGTTTCTGACTGAATGACGTAAGCAGGGACAAGCCGAAGGAGAGCACCTCCCTTGGCTGACCCTCCTTACATCTTCCCCCAAAACTCTTGCTATAAAGTGGCTTTAACAGAGCACTATATAACTACAATGGAAAGATGGCAAAGTTTGTCTTTGAAAAGACAAAATGTCATCAAAAAGATGTAACTGTTGTTTTATACTACTGGCAAAACAAACCAGACTATGAAAAGATGTTTGTTTTGTCAGCAAATACTCTAAATCCAGGAATAAAATTTAACATTTTTCCTTTTGTTCTCCTTCATAGTGGCTAAAGTAAAAACACAAAATAAGCATGCCACTTATTCCATCAAAAAACGGAGTGATTTTTTTTTTAGCCTTTTCTTCCACAGTTCTGTCTTGTAGGAGATGGACTTTGTATTTTGGCTCTCTCTTTCAGCAGCTCCAGAATTTATAGTCATGCCAAACTAGAAAATTTTGCCTAGTGATGGACAAGTAAAACATTTATTCCACCCTTTACAACACACTTGCTAAAAAAATAGTTTTCTTATATTGTGTAACAAGGTTCAGAATATTTCTTATAACAGAATATTTCTTATAAGACTCCCTAACAATTTTCAATCCTGAAATAACTGGTATTCCACATGGCTAGAGAAATCCTGTGGCCATCTTGTGTGTCTAAGCCTTTACTTCTTCTGAATGAACAAAAAGGTAAGGTTAGTTAAAAAGAAAGTTAGAGTTAAGAGATAAGAATTAATTGTCATTGACTAAGTGCTTTATAAGGATCAGCTCTTCCCACCATTGGTAATATTTGTGTGCTCAAAGCAGAAACCTTAGGCAATTAGTTAGATAATTGAATGGAAACATATTCATCTGAAGTGCCTGTGTACATATATTTTCACATGAGAAAAGAATCTATCTTGTAATATTTTAATATTCATATTTAATGTAAAGATTTTAACTGCACTTGCTTCAGAACATTTTGCCTCATTGCTATGTATGGAAAGGCACTAAGAGGACTTGGCACTGCCTTCCCAGCAGCACTTCTCCCCCCTTTATCTGCAGAGATCCGGAGAGGAAAGGGTGCCAGCATACTCATAGTGCCAGAGAGTCAAATCTTGTGTCAAAGGGTGTTTAACTCTGAATCTAAGGCCATGCAGTTCCTAGTTTGGAGCTGAATTTAAAACAAAGAATGACAAACTGCCTTTCATTTGGTAGATTATAATCTTGGTTCAAAACTCTATATTATTCTTGTACAACAATTCACAAAATATATTTAAAACAGAAAATCAGCATCTCCTGGGTTTTTATAAAGACTGTGTCCATAGGAAAATGAGACCTGTATTCCTTCCTTCTTATTGTATTTGTTCACTGAAAACCAGCTAACCCTTTGCTAGCATATTTTATTAGGTCATTTAAGAGATCATATGAAAAGTTTAACTCACATTTAGAACATATGTTCATGAATCCCGCAGATGCTGCTCCATGTTTTCATTTTACCTGAGTTGTGAGCCCTTAAGACACTGCACCGCAACTCTTGACATGCTTGCCTTGAGACATTTTTAGATAGATAGCAGGTTAATTTTCTTCAGAGCTCCCCAGTAGATATCGTCATGAACCAGGAAATGGGGAGTGTTATTTGAATCAGCAGTACTTTCAAATTGGTACTGAGACATCTCGGCATAAATTATCATTGCCCCAATTAGATGCAGTACCTGAAGACAGAAATAGAGAAATTTGGACATCCAGAGAGTGGTTAAAGCCTCTTAGATTTTCAGCTTTTCAAGCTTCTTGGCCAGTGTGCAGTGTCCTCTCTGCCAGAAGACAGATTTACAGATGACCTTTCCAGTGACTTTGTTGTAACCAGCCACCTATTTAGACCGAGCTGTGTTCTGGGAACATAATTTTAATGCCAGGCAAGCTCACTCTTTGATTATACTTGACAAAATGCTCCCAGGAAATCTGAGCAGAGTGTGAAGTCTGAGGAGGGACTGTACCTAACGCCAGAGTCAGGGAGGAGTCTGAACAAAATGTTACTTGTTATGTGGGAACATTAACAGGCTGAATCAGTGGATTTAAAATTTGAGGAGTCTTTGCAATATTTATTATCACATTCTATATTCTCTAGTTTAGCCATTTCTAATCTGAATTAATTCTGTATCCTGCTAAAATATTTTGAAAGCTTTTTAAAGTAAAAAAAAAAAATTGCATTAATGAAGGATCCCAAAGATTCTCACAATTCCATCATTAAAACCACAAACAAGGGGCTGGAGAAATGGTTCAGCAAATAAGATCACTTACTACTCAATCATGAGGACCTGACTGAGTTTCCAGCACCTGTCAGAGAACTCATAAATGCTTTCACTAAGGGATTCAGTGCTGACCTTCAAAGGCACTGCACGCATTCACACGTGTACACACATTAATAAAATAAACCCCAAACAAAACAAAGTAAATGCAAAGGATGACCTGTTTTATCTGTGAAAGAGTAGAAGGATATAGCTGACATTTATGCTAGCTATGGCAGGCACTGGCCTAGACATATTTTACACTTTCTTTCTAGTGGACTATCTAGAACAACTCATTTAAGAAGGAAGAAACCAGTTTTAATGAGACAGCCTCATCATTTTCAGATTATTTTTTTTAAATTGGCTTGTTGTATATTTCTTCTCTGAGGGATCCTGTAATGTCAATGTGACCTTCCTTACACAAGGTACTGCAGAGAACACAAGTGTTTTGATTTGAAAACATAGTACGATGTAACATTTTGAGGTGCCCTTTCCACATACAACAGGCCTCAGCTAGGTCATCAATGGTCTTGGCTAGAAGCCCCTTCACCGTAATTGCAAAATACCTAAAAAGCAACATACATAATTCCCAATGGCTGTAGCCCACCTAAATTATCATGTGAATGTGTAAGTCTGAAACATCTAAAAAAACATGAGAACTACACACATGATCATAATACTATCAGGACAACTAGGCTTCAAATTGTGAAACCAAGCCCGAATTGACTAATCTCATAACATCTTCTCTCAAATGTATGTATAATTCACGAATAAACAGCAGGTACTTTGATTTAGGAATATGACTATATGTCAGACTTCAAAATTCTGAATAATCTACATCTTAAATAAATACACACCATGTAGGAGTTCTGTTTGCTAGAAAGATAAGTGTCAGGAAAATACTTTTTTTTTTACTATCTTGTTAGTACTGAATCAGCATCTTGCATAAAAAATGTAAAATATTATTTGCAGGACAAAATGGTAGATGTGGCAAAAACATTCTCCAGAGACATACCTTGGTTTGTATAATTAATTCCTTACAGAATTAAGCTTTTTTTGAGATTACACTTTGCCATCTCATATGTTACCAAAGTGAGCCTTAACTACACATTTCCTTAATTGAAAGGAACTACTTTAAATGTATGGGCTAAGTAGAATGGAAATGACCTTGCACATTCCAATAAACTACTCTCCAACATGTTTCTCTACAGAACTGGGAAGAGAGAAGAAGCATAGTATTTGCCCAGCCATGCTAGCAAATTCTGATTTCTTGTGTGAGTAAATTGCTAACTTAAAAATGGCACAATAGAATTTGCTATTCTGAAATTTGCAAAAGTGCTGTGACTTCAAATTACCCTGTCAAGTGTGAATATCTTTCAGTTGAACGGAATTGTTTTATCAAATTCTGAATTTGAAGTGACCTAAATTGTGAAGAATTGCAAACTGTAAAATGTTGTTGGTCATCATGATATCCACTAGGAAATATATTTTATTTCCTTTCTAGGTACTCTATAGAAGTAGTATTAGACATTTCCTTTCTGTAGGAGTGGTTTTAGGTCCTGTCTATTAAGCATATGTATGTTAACTTCACACAGGTAGTTAACACCTTTTCATTATCCTCTGAAGATGTGCGCTAAAAGTGCTTTTAGCAGAGAGACTGTCAAACATCCTAAAACCTGGCTTCCTGTTAGTGACATGTTTCTTAAAGCCATTTATAACTTTGTATTCTATTTAAATCAGAATTAAGAGTAACGGAGTAAACTGGAGAGGATTGAGGGCCTCCAATTGTACTGTTTCTGAATATTTTATCATGTATTTAATATATAGTTACAAAGCATACAATAAACAGGGTAGGAAATTGAGGAAATGCACTCTGGAAAGACAAAGAAATACATGAATCCTCTGATTCCTTATTTTCAGGATTCAGTCAAGAATTAGATCACAGGCTACTGATTTACTGACTATACCGAGAGAAAGTTTTAATGCCTGTACAAAGCACCTAACAGTATTT